GCCGTGTGTTTAGGGTTTAGGGTTTCCATGTCCTTTCTGACTGTGTCTTTATGCTCTGACTAGGTATGCAACCTTGAACAGTACGTGGAACTTTTGAACGACTTGAAAAAGCTTACATAATGGTATTGTAGCGCACGTACCCATCTTATTTGATTTTAAACTATGAACCAGATGTTAAAATTTTCCCTGTAGGTTATCTAATGACAACACATTCAAAATACATTGTTAAATGAAAACGTTACAAAACAGCATGCATAGTGTAATGTTAATTGTGTTCAATTTTATTTTAATGAACAGACCTTAGTTTTAGAGCAGTTTTAGGTTTACAGACAAGTTGAGCAGAAAGAAGAGTTCCCATGTATTATTCCCTCTCCCGACACATTTTCTCCTGTTATTAACATTTTGTCACAGTTGAGGAGCCAATATCGGTACGTTGTTATTAACTAAAGTCCAGAGATTACATTAGGGTTCACCCTTTGTGTTGTGCAGCTCCGTGCTTTTATAGTAAATATATAATGTCATGTGTCCACCACGACAGTATCACGTAGAATAGTTTCACTGCCCTAAAAATGCCCAGTACTCCACCTATTCAAACGCTCCCCCCTTGAATGCCTGGCAACCACCAATTTTTTACAGTCTCTGTAGTTTTGCCTTTTCCCGAACATCCTATAGTTGCGATCATACAGTGTGGAGCCTTTTCAGACTGGCTTCTTTGTCTTGTTGTCAGGAACCGTCGAATCGGTTCCGACTCTTAGCAACCCTGTGTACAACATCACGAAACACTGCCCGGTCCTGCACCGTCCTCAGAAGCATCCCTGTGCTTGAGCCCGTAGCAGAGTGCATTTAAGGGTTCTCCATGTCTGTTCACAGCTCGATGGCTCATTGCTTGTTATCACTGAATAATGTTCCGTCCTGTGGCTGTCCCAGACCAGTGCGTAGTGCAGGCGGTTTGTGCTCAGCTGCTAGTCTAAAGGTTGGCGGTTCCAGCCCACACAGTGATGCCACAGAAGAAAGGCCTGGCAATCTGCTTCCATAAAGATGACAGCCCAGAAAACCCTATGGAGAAGTTCTACTCTGTAGCACACGGGGGCACCATGAGTCGGAATCGACTTGCTGCGGTTTTTTTTTTTTTTTTAAATGCACGTACCTCAGTTTCTTTATCCGTTCACCCACTGAAGGACGTCTGGGTTGTTTCCGGTTTGGGGCAGCTTTGACTAAAACAGCTATAAACATCATGTGCAGGTTTTTTACGTGGACACACGTTTTGAACTCATTTGGGTAAATACCAGCGTGATTGCTGGATCATACAGGAAGACTAAGATTGCATGTTTAGCTTTGTAAGAAATGGCCAAAGTGTCTTCAGCGTATTGTTTTACATTCCCACCAGCAGTGAATGGGAGTTCTTGTTGCCCAACATCCTTGCCAGCTTTTGGTGGTGTTACTTTTGGATTCTAGCCATTCCAATAGGTATGTAGTGATGTCTCGTTGTTGGTCTAATTTGCAGCTCCCTAGGGACATGTTGTAAAATAGGGTGGCTTCAGAAGCTATTTAAATTCAGGAAGGGGAAGGAGAATCATTATTAGCACAAAGCTGATTCCTGCAAGGTGGAGGTCAGATATACTTCCACTCTCCAACCTCTACCAATTCTGACACCAGCCATCCCTCCCACTGGGTACTCTCTACTTCTCTGCAGGGTTCAGTAATTGGTTGCTGTGGCCACACAGGACTCACAGACCATACTCATGATTGTGGAGTTTATTAGGGAAGTAGCGGGTTACAGTTCCGGTTCGGGATCAACATGGAGGTAACAGAAATGACTCAGGATACAGTTCTTCAACCAAGACAGCTACCAGCTTCTCAGCTCCTCCGTCATACCCGCAGGCAGCAGGCCTCGCTCTCAGCCTGTGCCACCAGCCCTGCTCGGGTCTGCCTTCTGCCCTGCTTGGGCAAGTGTTAGAACTCTTTAGCCCCACCAAGAAGTGCCCAGAGGCCCCCGACTCTGCCAGGAAGCCACCTGCCCACAGGTGCTCAGCTCTCACTCCGTGGGTTGGCCAGGCCCCCTGCAGCCGCCTCGCTCTGTGGGCCGGAAGCCCACCACGCTGTCTCGGGTCCCCGCCGTCTCCAGTGTTACAGCCCTCTCTCTCCTGGGTCTAGAGGTTCTCAGTGCAAGGACCCTGGGTCTAAAAGACGCACTCTACTCCTTGCTCTTCTTGATGGTAGTGAGGTTCCCCCCTCAATCTGTGTGGCTGGCTCTTTTTAAGCCTACAAGTGATTGCAAAACTGACCAGTCTCCTCATTAGGCCACAGGCACCTTATTTGCAAAATTGGGCCCAATCCTGCAAGAGTCGCATGTACCTTATTTGCATTAGCAGACCGTCCAATCCTTGCAAGGGTTCTACACATTATTTGCATAGTCCCACCCAATCATTTTGTAGGAGTTACAAAACCATGGCTAGAAAGGCCATGCAAACACTAGTCACTGCACTGCACATATGATGTTGAGCATCTTTTCATATACTTACTTGCCATCTGTATATCTTTTTTACTCTTTAGATCTTTTGCCCATTTTGCAATTACTCGGTATCTTACCCATTGCTGTCAAGTTGATTCCGACTCATAGTGACCCTGTAGGACAGAGTAGAACTTCTCCTTAGGGTTTCCGAGGAGCAACTGGTGGATTCAAACTGCCGACATTTTGGTTAGCAGCTGAGCTCTTAACCACTGTGCCACCAAGGCCCTATTTTGTAATTGGGCTGCTCGTTTTCTTTTGTTAAGTTTTAAGGGTTCTTTGTGTATCTTGGATACAAGTCCTTTATTATATACGTATTTTGCAGATACTTTCTCCCATCCGTGGCTTGTCTTTTCATTCTTCTAGCAGTGCTTCTTAACAGTGCCTCTAACAGAGTAAAAGTTTTTCATTTTAACGACGTCCAACTTATTTTTGTTTTCCTATTACGGATTGAATTGTGTCCCCCAAAAATATGTGTTGTAAAACCTAACCTCTGCCTGTGGTTCTAATCCTATTTGAGAATGGGTTGTCTTTGTTATGTTAATGAAGCAGGATTGGGTTATGTTTGTTATGTTAATGAGGCAGGATGAGGGGTGTATCTTGAGTCAGTCTCTTTTGAGATACAAAAGAGATTATACGAGCAAGCTAAGAAGCATTGATGAGGGAAGAGAGATGCCAAGCCACGTGAAGAGTGCCCAGGAGCAGACTCTCAAAAGAGACGAGGAAATTCCTCCAGAGCCAACAGAGAGAGAAAGTCTTCCCCTGGAGCTGGCACCCTGAATTCGGACTTATAGCCTCCTAAACTGTGTGAGAATAAATTTCTGTTATGGCAGCAGTAGATAACTAAGACAGTGCTGTATCTAAAAAGTTATCACCAGACCTAAGGTCACCTAGGTTTTTTCTCCTATCTTCTAATAGTTTTATAGTTTTGTATTTAGGTATATGATCCATGCTGATTTAATTTTTGTGAAAGATGTAGATTCAGTGTGTGTGTGTGTCCAATGGATTCAGTGCCATGTGTTGAAAAAACTCCATTGAATTGCCTTTTCCCCTTTGTCAAAAATCAGTTGACTATATTGGTTGTTGATTTTGGTTTTTATTTGTGACTTCAGAGACCCCACGGTTTACAGAGCAGAACTACTCCATAGGGTTTTCTCAGCTGTAATCTTTACAGAAGCAGATCACCAGGCCTGTTTCTTCTGTGCCACTGGGTGGGTTCGAAGCACCAACCTTTTGGTTGTCAGCCAAGCAGAAACCGTTTGCATCACCCAGAGACCTTATATTTGTCTGGGTCTACTTCTGAGCTCTCTATTCTGTTCTGTCGTTTACATAATGGCATCATACTGCACATAGCTGTCTTTGTTTTTTTTATTGTGGTGAAAATATACATAACAAAACGTACACCCCCTCTCCAATTTCTACATGTACAATTTGATGACATTGATTACATTCTTCAAGTTGTGCAGCCATTCTCACGGTTCTTCTCCAAATCATTTCACCACCATGAACACAAATTCACTGTCCCCTAAGCAGAAAGTCTCCCTTTCTCTCTCCTCCCACCCCTGGTAGCCACTAATAATTTTTGGTTTCTATAATTCAGAACAGTGTTCCGCTGCTATCCATAAGGTTTTCACTGGCTAATTTTTTTTGGAAGTAGATCATCAGGTCCTTCTTAGTCTGTCTTAGTCTGGAAGCTCTGCTGAAACCTGTCCTCCGTGGGTGACCCTGCTGATATTTGAAATACTGGTGGCATAGCTTCCAGCATCACAGCAACACCCAAACCACCACAGTACAACAAACTGACAGACCTCTTTAAAGGGTTAAAAAGCAAAGATGTCACTTTGAGGACTAAGGTGTGTCACTTCGAGGACTAAGGTGTGTTTGACCTAAGCCATGGAATTTTCAGTCTCTTCATTTGCCTGTGAAAGCTGGACAATGAATAAGGAAGACCAAAGAAGAATTGATGCCTTTGAATTATGTTGTTGGCGAAGAATATTGAATATACCATGGACTATCAGAAGAATGAGCAAGTCTGTCTTGGAAGAAGTACAGCCAGAGTGCTCCTTAGAAGCGAGGATGGCAAGACTGCATCTCACATACTTTGGACATGTTATAAGGAGTGACCAGTCCTTGGAGAAGGACATCATGCTTGGTAATGTAGAGGGTCAGCAAAAGAGAGGAAGACCCTCAACGAGATGGATGGACACAGTGGCTGCCAATGATGGGCTTAAACATAGCAACGATTATGAGGATGGCACTATGAGTCGGAACCAACTCGATGGCACCTAAGAACAACAATAACATAATTCAGAATCGACTTGGCAACAACTAATAACAACGACATATATTTTCTTATTTCGTATAAGTGACATCATACAGTTTTTGTCCTTTTGTTACTTATTTTGCTTAGCATGATGTTTTCAAGGTTCATCCATGTTGTGGCATGCGGCAGGACTTCATTTCTCTTTATGGCTGAGTAATATTCCATTAGACTACATTTTCAATATCCATTCATCCATTGATGGCTGTTTTGGTTGTTTCTGTCTTTAGGCTACAGTGAATAGTGCTGTAGTGAACATTGGTGTACAGGTGTCTGTTTGTGGTCCTGCCCTCACTTCTTTGAACTGTATATTGGGGATTGGGATTGCTGGGTCATGTGGTAGTTCTGTGTTTAACTTTTTGAGGAACTGCCAAACTGTTCTTTGATGATTGATTTTTGATGGTTGAGACAGAACTCCAAGAGGCTTCTTTGATTGGGTTGTTTGTCTTTTTGTTGTTAAGTTGTAGAAGTTTTATAATGTTGTTTGCTTTTTAAGACAGGTCTCCAGATACCACGGTGCTAAGAGGCATCAAGACCCAGGGGCCATGGGAGAATGGAATGAAGAGGAATGTGCTGGCATTGCTGCCGCTCAGCCCAGCAAGCAGATTCTGCTGAGAGTCTCATATGATGGCAGCCACTGATGGGGACTCTACATGGGGTGAGTGCCTGGTCAGTTGGCACTGAGAGAGACAAGAATTTAGGAGGCCCCTGTACTACAGGGGGTCCCAAGGTTGGTGAACCGAGTAGTCATAGCAAAGGCTGGCTGGGACAGGATGAAGCAGACAATACCGGAGCAGAGGCCCAGGAGCCAGTCTGCTGTTGGAGATAGCGCTTCTGGAAATTAGGAGGGAATTTTCTTGGGGAGCAACTACAACCCCATTTGTGAATTTTATACCCTTGGGCAGCTAAATGGCCAAGTCTCTCTGCATTAGCGTTTCTTCATCTGTAGAATGATAATGTTACTACCTTTCTTGTGAGTCCCAAGACCCACAGCACTGTGTAGGCCCTGGACGTGGCCAGATGCAGTTGCTTGGGGGTAATGGCATCGTGACTTCTAAGCTTCTGATTCTGAGGATTTGGAAAGGCTTAGAATCACCTAGAAGTCCCTGGGTGGTACAAACGGTGAACATTCTTGACTGCTAACCGAAAGGCTCAAGGTGCAAGTCTACCCAGAGGTGCCTTGGAAGAAAGGCCTGGTGATCTACTTCCAAAAGATCACAGCCATTGAAACCCTGTGGAGCACAGTTCTCTAACACACATGGGGTCGCCACGAGTCGTAGTCAACTCAATGGAAACTGTTTTTTTTTTTTTTTTTTGAATCACCGACTCCTGTCTTTCCCCCGTCTCCCCAGCAGTGCCTGCTCAGGACCTTGGCCGTCCCCATGAGGGGAATGTGGAGGAAAAAGGGATGGTTGCTGGGTTTCTGACAACTTGGTCGCAGGTGAGTGGGCCTCATTCAGCAAAAAGAATTTCCTTTTCCCATAAGAGTGGACCCCTCTCCTTCCTGTAGCCTGGAGTTTGGCAGCCAGCCAGGGCTGGTCTCCATTTCCTTAATGTCTCTGGGCCTCTTAGAGGATTGAAGATCTGTTAAGGAAGTGCTCCCACTGTCCCAGCATTTAGGGTCTCATTGCACCCTCTTCCAGGCTGACTTGCTGCTTCATGTTCTGCTGGGTCCTGTGAGGGAAACAAAGGAAGATTGTGAGAGGATTGTTGTCTTCCTGGAGGAAATAATTCATTTGTTCGCTGAGTATTTCTTTCACGCCCTTGGGCCTGTTGGGGACCAGGGACAGGTCTGAGTAGGTTGAAAAAGCCCCAGTGTAACTGAAGAAAGTCACAGTCTTCAGTCATGGATTAGAGGAGCTTTTAAAGCCACGAGCCTGGATATGCTCACTTATGCGATCACTTAGGGGAAGCTCTGAGTCCTGAGCTTGGGGGCTGATGGGTCAGTGACCTCAGAACACTGAATGACTGATCACCCCTCCCCGGCGTTCTCCCTCTCACCCCTGCTTTTCTACACACTGGTGGGGATGATCCCTGGCAGAGCTGGAATGTGTGGGATGTTTCAGGAATCAGTGGCCTTCGAGGATGTGGCTGTGGATTTTACCCCAGAGGAGTGGGTGTTGCTGGACCGTTCTCAAAGGACTCTCTACCGAGAAGTGATGCTGGAGACCTACAGGAACCTGGCGTCGCTTGGTAAGGCTGACATCCATTCCCCAGACCAGGAATCCTCCCCTTTGGCACCGCTGGATCATTCTCTGGGGTGGGGCCATCCTGTGCACTGTACAGTGTTGAGCAGCATCCCTGGCCTCTGCCCACTCAATGCCAGTAGCAGCACCCCCCGAGTCGTGAGAACCACAAATGTCCCCAGATGTTGCCAAGTGTCCCCAGGTGGCACAGTCACCCCCATTTGGGAACCACTAGGGGGCAGAATTTCCCTGGGTGAGAAACTTTGGGTTAGGAATTCCACTGACCACCAAGACACTCTTATGACTCATAGTCATCTGACCTACTGACGTCGTAGGATGCTGCCCACATTTAAATCCACACACTGAGTGGGGAGGAGAGAGGAGGGAAATCACAGGAGCTGGAGGGTCCCCTGGTTTACACTGTCTAACCTGTCAGGAATGAATTTTAGTGTATGGTGTGAGGTAGTAGGGATTGAACTCAGTTTTTTTTCAAATGATTAATGCAAGGTTTCTCAGCCTTGGCACTGCTGACATTTGAGCCCGAATCATTCTCTGGGATGGGGCCGTCCTGTGCACTGTAGCGTGTCAGCATCCCTGGCTTTGACTCATTAGATACCAGTAGCATTCCCACTCCACACCCAGGTCCTGACAACCAAATATGTCTCCAGACATAGCCAAGTGTCCCCTAGGGCAGAATCACTCCCATTGAGAACCACTGTCCTAAAGCACCATGTGTTTCTTTCACCTGTACTCTTCCAGGAATTGTTCTGGGGATGAGGAAGGCAGTGGCTGACAACACAGAGCCCCTGTCCCCAGTGAAGTTCAGAGCAGAGTGTCTCCTTTGTGGTAGTGAGAGTTTTCCCACTGAAGTGTCTGTTTCCCATTTGCTAATTCCCACTGGGAAACCCTGGTGGTGTACTGGTTAAGAGCTACCGCTGCTAACCAAAAGGCTGGCAGTTCGAATTCACGAGGTGCTCCTTGGAAACCCTATGGGGCAGTTCTCCTCTGTCCTGTAGAGTTGCTATGAGTCGGAATTGACTCAATGGCAACGGGTTGTAATCCCCATGGAGCTCGGAGTGAGGGTGCTGCTGGTGGTGTTGGCCCCGTGAGAAAAACTGACTGTGTTCCTAGGAGTTTGCTGCTCCTAGAGGCAGATTTCCCAGTCCTCAGCAGCCCTGAAGTCCACAGTTTGATGGAAGGATTTCGGGCTCCTGCCAAGTCCTTTGACATCATGTGTATGCCTACAGGATCAGGGTGTCAGCCACGCAGTCCTCCTGGGCTCTCTCAGTGGGACTGAGAATTGACCACCAGAGGGAAGAATTGTACACGTCACCTCTGAAGGTGGGCAGCATCAGCAGAGAGATAAAGTCCTATAAATAACCTGGTACCTGGGGGACCCAGTGGGTGATGCTGCCCCCCAGGGATAGTGGCAGTGTCTGGAGACATTTGTGGTTGTCATGACTTGGGGGGGTGCTCCTGGCGTCAAGTGGGTGGAGGCCAGGAATGCTGCTCAACACCCTAAAGTCACGGGAAGATTCATTTGGAACCTCAACGAGAAGACTTTCTTTTTTTTTAAACAATTTCTACATGTACAGTTCAGTTGTTGATTTTGTTTTTGTTGTTGCTTTGTGACTTTGGAGACCCCACGTGTTATAGAGTAGAACTGTTCCGTAGAGTTTCCTGCTGTAATCTTTTTTTTTTTTTTAAATTGTGCTTTAGGTGAAAGTTTACAGCTCAAGTTAATTTTTCATACAAAAATTTATACACATATTGTTATGTGACATTAGTTGCAATCCCTACAATGTGATAGCACACTCCCCCTTTCCACCCTGGGTTTTTTGCATCCATTCAACCAGTTTGTGTCCCTTCCTGCCTTCTCATCCTGCCTCCGGACAGGAGCTACCCATTTGCTGGGTATAATCTTGACAGAAGAAGATAACCAGGACTGTTTTTTCCGTGGTGCTGCTGGGTGGATTCCATCTGCCAACCTTTTGGTAACCAGCCGAGTGCAAACTGTTTGCGCCACCCAGGGACTTTTACGTGTACAATTGAGTGACATTGATTACATTCTTCAAGTTGTGCAGCTGTTCTCACTATCCTTTTCCAAATCATTCCACTACCGTGAACATAAAACTCACTGCCCCCTAAGCAAAAACTGCCCCTCTCCCCCTCACTCCCACCCCTGGTAATCACTAATCTTTGGTTTCAATATATTTGCTTATTTCATATAAGTGAGATCTGTTGTAGGGAAAAAACTACAAGTCTACACAGTCGTAGAGGCTGGCAGGTCCCAAGTCTGAGGGTCAGGTGTCAGGCTGGAGGCTTTCCCTGACTCATGTAGCTGCAGGGCCTGATGAACCCAAGATTGACAGGTCAGACGGCAGGCCTCTAACTCACAGGCTGCAGAGGCCAACGAATCCCAAGATCGGCAGATAAGCTGCTAGCTCAAGTTTCAAGAACCAGAGGTCAGATGATGATGAGCCAGATGCAGGATCCAAAGTGAGAGCCTTGCTGGAACATCCATTTATATACTGGAGCCAGGCCACACTCCCAAGGAAACTCCCTTTCAGCTGATTGGCTTCTCATAGCAGATCTCATCATGGAGTTGATTACATCATTACATGACTGAGAAATTACATCATTACGTAACTGCCAAACTACATCATTAACTGCCAAATCACTGAGAATCATGGCCCAGCCAAGCTGACACATCACCTTAACCATCACGGTTGCCATTTGGGTTGCTTGCACTTTCTGGCTATTATGAATAATGTTGCTGTATTTCACATACAGCTTTTTGTGTGGACAGATGTTTTCAGTCTCGTGGGTATGTACCTAGGAGTAGAGTTGCTGGGTCATATGTTAGTTCTTCTGTGTTTAACTTTTTGAGGAACCACCAAACTTTTCCAAAGTGGCTGCACCATTTTCCGTTCCCAATAGCAATGTATGAGGGTTCCAGTTTCTCCCCATTCTTACCGACATTTGTTACTGTTCATCTTTTTTATCATAGCTATCCTAGTGGGTGTGAAGTAGTATTTCCCTGTGGTTTTGATTTACATTTCCCTTGGAAACCCTGGTGGTGTAGTGGTTAAGAGCTATGGCTGCTTGCCAAAAGGTTGGCAGTTGGAATCCACCAGGTGCTCCTTGGAAACCCTATGGGGCAGTTCTACTCTGTCCTTTGGGGTTGCTGTGAGTTGGAATCGACTTGACAGCAACGTGTTTGGTTTTGGTTTTAACAGCTAATGGGAGTCTCTGGGTAGTATAAACTGTTAAAGTGCTTAGTTCCTAACCCAAAGTTTGGACGTTTGAGTGTACCCAGAGGCACCTTGGAAGAAAGGCCTGGCTATCTACTTGTGAAAAATCAGCCATCGAAAAACTCTGTAGAGCACAGTTCTACTCTGACACACATGGAGTTACCTTGAGTCAGGGTTGACTCGATGGCAACTGGTTTTGGTTTAATGTCTAATGATGTTGAGCATCTTTTCATGTGCTATTGGCAATTTATATATCTCCTTTGGAGAAATGTCTATTAAAATCCTTGGTCCACTTTTTATTGTACTGTCTTTTTCTGTTGAGCATCACACTATTTCTTTCTAAGAACTTTAATTTTTTTTTTTTTTGGTCCATTTCATTTCAGACTGGAGGACTCAACTTAAAACCAAAGAGTCGACTTCTAAACAGGATATTTTCGGAGAAAGTATGTTCAAAGGCATGAAAATGGTAAGATTCCCATGGGATGGAACCTGGTCCTTTGCACATAGAGAAGTCAGGGAGGGTCAGAAGGTAAGGAAGAGAAGGAAGCACCAGGACCAGGAGAGAAATGTGAGGCAAGTGGCTTTTATTCAAGAGAAAATCACATCTCAGGAGAAAGTCCAAGAAAAGTATGAACTGGGGAGAACTAATGCATGCTTTTTCTGTAAGAGTACAGTGGGTAAAAGTTTATGGCTTTGAGGTCCACGTGGTCTCTGTTGGAACTACTCAGCCTTTCTGTTGTAGTGTGAAAGTAGCCATAGATGATACGGAAAGTAATGAACATGGCTGTGTTCCAATAAAACTTTATTTACAAAAACATGCAGTGGGCCAGATTTAGCCTGCATGTCATAGTTTGCCAACCCCGCCCTACACCCACCTCAAAGCTTCTGTTTCCACATAGAAGTATTCCTAGAAATAAACATTTTCACAAATGTTCCTGTTTGAGTGAGTGTTTGAAAGAGAATTCAGAATCAAACTGTGATCTGAAAACCACTTTTTGCAATAAGCCTTGGGATAGTCTTGAGTATGATAGAACCCTCTGGCAAAGCATTCCCCTTCGTCAGTCTGAAAAAACTTAAGCATCCCAGAAACCATTCACATCCATCCACAATTGTGAAATCATCATTCAGAACAATAAGTGTCCTATCACAGCAGTGTTCTTGCTGGTGAGAACCCCTGTGAGCTTAAGGAATGGAACCCAAAAACCAGACCATGGAGTGAATTCCGCCTCATGGCAACACCATGTGTGTCAGAGTACAACTGCTCCATAGGATTTTCTTGGCTGTGATCTTTACTGAAGCAAATTGCCAGGCCTTTCTTATGCGGTGCCACTGGGTGGGTTTGAACTGCTAACCGTTAAGTTAGTAGTCGAGTGCAAACGGCTTGCGCCACCAGGGACCTAGGTAATGAATGGAAAAAGCCGTTAGTTATCATGCCTCCTCTGTCAGCAGGCGCCAACTCACCCAGGGAAGAGGCCCTGCCAGTACAGTCAGTTCGGAAAGGCCGTTAGAAGGAGCCTGGGCCTCACGTGGCCCCCGGGAAGCCCACCCGGCGAGAAGCCCTACAGGTGTGAGGAGTGTGGGAAAGGCTTCCGTCACCTCTCCTCCCTGAGGAGACACGCGCGCACCCACACTGGCGAGAGCCCCTTTGCGTGCCGCCACTGCGGAAGCGCCTTCTGTCACCAGTCGTCCCTCAAGACCCACGTGCGGACTCACACGGGGGAGAAACCTTACACATGCAGCCAGTGTGGGCAGCGCTTCAGCACGCGCTCCTACCTCACGGTGCACACGCGGATCCACACCGGGGAGAAGCGCTACGCATGCGCGGACTGCGAGAAGGCCTTCAGCAGGAGCTCCTACCTGCGCGTGCACCAGCGGACCCACACGGGCGAGAAGCGCTACACGTGCGGGGACTGCGGCAGAGTCTTCGGCCACCCGTCCAACCTGCGGAGGCACGTGCGCACCCACACGGGCGAGAAGCGGTACAGGTGTGGCCGCTGCGGCAAAGCCTTCGTCCAGAGCTCCTCCCTGGTGGTGCATAGCCGGACGCACACAGGTGAGAAGCCCTACCCGTGTGTGAAGTGCGGGAAGGCCTTCATCGACACCTCATCCTTCCGGAAGCACGTGCGGACGCACTCCAGGGAGAAGCCCCACAAGTGCATGCAGTGTGGCGAGGCCTTCAGCCACAACGCGCCACTCGTGGTGCACAAGCGGGCCCACGCGGAGGGAGCCCTCAGGAGCGTGGTGGACGTGAAGCTGCCTTTATCCTCGTCCCTTTCTTAGCTCCCTGCGTGGTGCAATCCTATGCGCTGCACTATTAACCTAAAGGTTGGCGATTCAAACCCACCCAGCAGCACCATGGAAGAAAGGCCTGGCGATCTGCTTCTAGAAAGAAAACCCTGTGGAGCAGTTCCACCATATGAGTTCACCATGAGTCGGAATTGATTCGAGGGATATGGGTTTTCCTTAGAGTGGGCCACGAGCCTGTTAATTTTCAGGCTTTGATTCAGAACACAAGCCTTTAAGGACTACTGAGCAGTTGTTAATGGAGTCCCAGGGTGATGCAGACAGTTCAGTGCTCGGCTGCATAATGAAAGGTGGGTGGTTCAAACCCACCCAGAGGTGCCTCGAAGAAAGGCCTGGCGATCTACTTCTGAAACATCAGCTCTGGAAAACCCTATGGAGCACAGTTCTATCCTGACACACAAGGGATTGCCATGAGTCAGAATCAACTTGATGGTAACTGGTGTTTGGATTTTAAGTGGTCCTTATCACACAAGAGCTGATGTGTAGTAGGAAGTTTTGATACTTAGCATTTTTATTACAATCTCATTTTAAACATTGCCAACTATCGTGATTTTTCGACTCATAGATTCTTTGGGAAAAAAAAATTCTAAATGGGAAATTGATTTCTCAGTTGACTGTTATGGTCAGAGTCCGTGTTTATAATGTGAATTCTGTGGTGTTTGTTGAGACAGTACGTGGCTCAGTTGTAGGGGCCGCCTGTGGTCAATCTAGTGATGTCTCCCTCCTTGCTTACTAATTGTTGTTTGGTGTTGCTGAGGCAGTTCTGACTCACAGCTACCCCACGTGACAGTGTAGAACTGCCCCATAGGGTCTTCTAGGCTGTGATCTTTATGGAAGGATCCCTGGTGTCACAATGATTAAGCACTCTGCTACTAACCAGAAGGTTGATGGTTCCAACCCACCAGCCGTTCCCTGGGAGAAAGATGTGGCAGTCTGCTTTCGTAAAGATTACACCTTTGGAAGCCCTGTGGGGCAGTTCTTCTCTACCCTACAGGTCGCTATGTGTTGGAATTGACTTGACGGTAATGGGTTTGGTTTTGCTTTTAGGATAGAGTAGAACTGCCTGCCCCATAGGGTTTCCAAGGCTGTAATCTGTATGGAAGCAAATTGCCAGGTCTTTTCTCCGAGTGGCTCATGGGTTCTAGCTGCCCACCTTTTGGTTAGCAGCTGAGCACTTAACCATTGCACCAACAGGGCTCCTTATACTTGTTCTTACACTTTATAAATCAAATGAGTATTTTCTTTTTAATGGGAAGCTGTTTTTCTACCTGCTGATCTTTTAAACACTAATTTTTATGAAACTTCTACAATACCTTTTTGCAAACCATAAAACATGATTTTTCAACTCTGTAAATAAATTGACAAGTGGTGATTACAGCTTCTACTTCCATTATATGTCAAACTGGAGGGTAGTTTCTGTAATGAGCTGCATATTAAATTAGGAGTTTTGACCCAATCTGTTTAGTGCTGTGTAACACGTTGAACCAAACCTGTTGCTGTCGGGTCCATTCCAACTCATAGCGATCCTATAGGACAGAACTGCCCCATAGGGTTTCCAAGGAGTGGCTGGTGGATTTGAACTGCAGAGGTTTTGGTTAGCAGCTGAGCTCTTAACCACTGCACCACCATGGCTCCCTAAAACTGAGGCACTTGGCATGACCAAATGACTAACTCAGGTTTGAATCAAACTCCATTTTTTATTTAAATTTTAGCTTGTTCTAAAGTCCTCATTTCTGCTTTCCTAAAAATATAATCTGTGGTTTAGAGTCTGGTGACATATAATTTCTTCTAAAACTTTAACCACCCTTAGTAAACAATGAAGGGAGCAAGAATGTGGTTTGTGAAGAAATGTTCTCAGGACATGTTTATCAAGATGGTCTCGGAGAATGGAGAATGCTTGCCGTACCATGCCCCACGAAGAATGCATGTGGAGATATTTTAGAAAATCGCTTGTTAGGCTGGCTCCAGGAAGTCTGTGTTAGAAAACAGGCCAGTTTAACCTTGTAAATTTTACCTTGCTATTGTCTTGTAACTATATGTAATCCTGAACTCCCATGATTATAGTCACATACTCCATTCCCCATTTTTCTGCATAAAAAGCACACCTCTCCCTCAGAATGTTGGAGCACTGTGTGTGACCTCTCATCATATCCCACTGTGTTGCCCAGTTGGAGCTGCTATTCCTCAATAAAACTCTTTGTTCTCACTCCTTACAGAGTACCAGATTTTCTACTTCGACAGCATATTTAGAGTTTTCAGGTCCATCCGTATTTCTATAAGCTTTTAGTGTGTATGTGTGTGTGTGAGTGTGTGTGTGTTTAAATAAGAATCAAAACGGCAATTCAAGTACCTTAGGAATATCGTCGTTTACATTTCAAAATTCTTTAGGTTGTTGGGGGAAAAAAATTGTAAAAAACGAAATCTACTCCCAACCCAGAAAACCTCTCCACAACAATAGGAGAAAGGAAATTTTTATCATTGAATAAGCATTAAACCAGAATGTGATGCGTCACAGGCGTCCGCTACTGAGACTTCTGACCTTATAGATTCTACAGTTGAGTGGATACAACTGTGGAAGAATTTCTAAGAACAGAAACAAAGTTAAAGTAATGCTACAGATGAGTCAATCCTACAGGTCACGAACTGGGCAACACACAGCATAAACTGAGTGTCCCAAAGAAATGGGGCCGTATTGGGGTTTTTACAGTCTAAGGAACAAAGTCAAGGCCAGGCAGTTTGATCAGTCTTTCAGATATTCATCAAAATGTCCCTTGAAGGTCTTTCTCTAGAAACGTCAGCTTTGCTAAGAAGACATGCTGACTCAGGTTTCAAAATGGCCAGGTTGTCTGTTTGTCTGGAATGTAGGGACTAAAGGATACAGGACGTTGGTTACACATAAATCTGAAGAAACAAACTAGTTTTTACCCCTAAGGTTAGGTGATTTATTGAACTTTTGCCCCATGAAACCAGGCATCAGCCATGTTCACCGAGCTTGGCACAAGGGTCTCCATCTTGTTTCAGTTTCCACAAAACCCATTACATTCCTCTGTTCAAGATAGAATTGCTACTTTTCTAGTATCTTTATGGTAGAATACCTGAAGTTATGCTAACTTCCTTTCAGGAAGCTGGGAGGTAGGGGCGTGATCTTTCTTGATAATGACATTTGAATAGAGGTGGCTCCCAGATCCTTGAGGAAACATCCTTGATTTACATACTTTTCAAAGAGACTGTAAAGGAGAAGTTCATACAATCTTCTTGACCAGGACTAGATGACTGAATTAAACTCAGTTTTTGCTGAATTAAACTGGTCTTTTTTACCGGCCTGCCCAGGGTTCCCTATTTAACTAACTGAGTCAACCCAGAGTGCACACAAGCCCTATCATTGAACTCCTTTAATTGCTTAGTTACCATGGAAACATAGCATGTTTTCTCTGGGCCAAGGTTAAGATGTAAAAGCAATGCACTCTGAGGTGCATTTTTGTGTATCGTGAGCCCAGAAAATATGTCTTTATGACAAAGATGTGATACCAATGTTTTAAGAGGGTCTTAGAGTTAGCCTTATCTGAAATTCCCCAAATAAACAGATTTTGGTTAAGCAAGCAATTCCGAGAAGAACCCTGGCACCACCTGTCCATCATAATCCGGTCCCTAAACTCCCTCAGAGACTTCTCATTAAACATTAAGTTTTATGACACGTCATCCTGTGACTGTAACTCATTCTTAGTCCCCTTACCTCACTGTCACAGACTGAATTGTGAACCCAAAAACGTGCATCAACTTGGCTAGGCCACGATTCCCGGTATTGTGTGGTTGTCCTCCACTTTGTGATCTGATGTATTTATCCTATGTGTTGTAAATCCTAAACTGTATTATATTAGTGAGGCAGGATTAGAGGCAGTTATGTCAATGAGGCAGGACATAATCCAGAGGTGTATGTTGCGTCTTGAGTCAATCTATTTTGAGATATGAGACAGACAAGTGTGTAGAGAGGAGGGGGACCTCATACCACCAAGAAAGGAGAACCAGGAGCAGAGGTCCCTGTGCTGAGAAGCTCCTAGACCAGGGGAAGATTGATAACAAGGAACTTCCCCCAAAACCGACAGAAAGAGAAAGCCTTCCCCTGGAGCTGGAGCCGTCAATTCAGACTTCTGGCCTCCTAGACTGTGAAAGAATAGGTTTCTGTTTGTTAAAGCCATTCACTTGTGGTATTTCTGTTACAGCAGCATTAGATAACCAGGACACTAACCACCAGTCAAAACAGTACCAGCTCTATTCTTTGTCTAAACCCCATAAAAGGATTTGTGTAGTAATTGGGACTGGGACTCCTGGTTTCATCCTCATGAGCCCCGTTGTTCCCAGTCCAGACTACTTTTAAAACCCTTAATACATCTGTTTTATTCTAAAGCAGCGTTGGAGTTTTTTATACAAGGCCGAGAAAAAATTTACAAGTTCTCTAAAAATTGTGAAACAACCTGGGAGAACGGGACCCTCTTCCGTTATTTTCAACAGGGGGAGTTAAAACCTATTATTTTCCATTTGTATTTGACCTTAGAAGGGCCACACTCAACAAACTGATCTAAAATAAATTTCCTTCCGGTGTAAAACGGACACCTGAGAATTGAAATGAACAATCTCACTTTTTGCGGTCTGAAAAGAGTTCCTGCGCCTAGACCAGGGTTGCTGGGTTCAAACCTGCCTCAGGCGACAAGCACCGGGGAAGCTGCGAGTCCTGTCTAAATCCCCGTATTGTGGTGGGGGAGGGCGCATGGGCCCCTCGGCGCTGGCCTGGGTCACACACCCACGTGGACGTAGACGCTTCATCACACGTGCAGCCCTCACTGTTCAGTGTCTGCGTTACAAACAGGGCGCGGGTGTCCGGGTGGCCCCGCATCCCCGTCCGACCCCTGATCTCGGGGACACCAGACCCCCGGTCCCCGCCCGGCCCGGGCGCCCCTCCTGCTCTGGACGTGCGGTCGGTCTCCTGGGAACCGAGTTTGGAGTTCCCTGGGTGCACCTGTGTCTCGGCGTCCAGGAGGAGACGCAGTCGGCAGCAGACAGACGCCGCCGTCCTCCCGGGCCTGGAGCGGGTGCATCCAATGTGGACGTCCCAGGGGCGGGGCCGGGAGGAAGCCACGCCCGTCAGCACGTGTGCTCCCGCCACTGTCACTCAGCCATCCAGAGGTGGGGCTTCCTGCAGCATTGCCCAGTCAGCGGCGTCGGGGCGGGAATCGAGCGCACTGTCCAATCAGGAAGCGGGGGCGGGACGACATTTTCTAAACCCGTCCAGACGTCGCCGCTCTGGGCGTACGGCGCTTGAAACTGTATTATCTATCCGCGCGACTCCGGAAGTCCTTGTTCCGGTGGACGGGACGCGGGGAGATCTGCAGAAGCCGGACATGGTGAGCGCGGGGTCGGGTGTTGCAGATGGGGCGAGAGGAGGGCCGGCTTAAGCCGGCTGGAAGCGGCCGTGCGCGCGGCCCCGGTTGAAGGCCCCCACCCTGAGGGGACAGATGGCAGGACGAGAAATCAGTCCCCGGGGTCTCTTCACGGGCCGGGCGGTCAGGGCGCGGCGCGGCGCTGGCACGGAGAGCGAAGCGGACGCCGGAGTCTTTGAGCGGAAGCGGCCCCAGACTCGCTGAGGAGACTCCGTTCCCAGGCGGGCGCTGTGGGGACACTGGGACCTCAGGGTCTGTGGGGTCTCCTCACCAGGGGACGGGCGAGGTCACCGGGGACTGAGGGGAGGGGGACACGGCGGGGAGAGGGTCACCGGGGACTGTGAGGGCGGGTGATGACGGCGGGGAGAGGGTCACCGGGGACTCTGAGGGGAGGCGGACACGGCGGGGAGAGGGTCGCCGGCGACTGTGAGGGCGGGTGATGACGGCGGGGAGAGGATCACCGGGGACTCTGACGGGGGGTGATGACGGCGCGGAGAGGATCACCGGGGACTGAGGGGAGGTGGACTCACTGGGGAGAGGGTCACCGAGGACTGAGGGGAGGGGTACGCGTGGGGGAGATGGTCACTGGCGACTGTGAGGGGAGGAGGACGGCGGGGAGAGGGTCACTGGGGACTGAGGGGAAGTGGACACGCGGCGGATGGGGTCACCGGGAGCTGAGGGGAGGTGGACGCTCGGGGAGAGGGTCACCGGGGACTGAGGGGAGGGGGACACGGCGGGGAGAGGGTCACCGGGGACTGAGGGGAAGTGGACACGTGGGGAGAGGGTCACTGGGGACTGAGGGGAGGTGGACACGGCGGGGAGAGGGTCACCGGCGACTGAGGGTAGGTGAGCACACCAGGGAGAGGGTCACAGGAAAATCAAAGACAATGACAGGCCACCAGTGTTTGTCAAAGTGTAAAATTAAGCACAAACTCTGTAAATAGAGGACAGTGGGTTTTACTGAGGAATACAACAGTTTGTACTGAACAGGCAGCGCAAAGCAAAAGTGCAAAGTGCTCTGCCGGGGTTGGGGAAAGGAGTGCTTTTATCCAGAGGTACAAACCAGTGTTTCTGCATGTTAGCTGATCTTTACACTATCACAAACATTCTTTCAAAAATAGTTTTTAAGGGGATATTGAGACTCCTGCCCTTGGGTGCGTTTCCTGGGATATCTTATCATTTGCTCTGACCATATTCTTGCTTCCTCTGTGGTTGCTTAAGAGATGGTTAAAGTTTTACAAGAGTGGAAAATTTTAGAAGCAGAAGCTTTAAACAAAATGGAGTCTGAACAAAATGGATTCTGATTCAAACCTGTGTCTGCCATCTTAGTTATGCCAAGCACCTAAGATTTTTAGGGTGCTGTCACACAGGTTGTTGAGGAGAATGGTTGGCACTCGGGGGGCGGCCACCCCGAATGTGGGGAGGGGCACGTGTAGAGCTTTTCCAGGTGGTGAGGGGATTTTCCGTAGGGAAGTGACAGTGATCAGGTCTAGGTCGTTTTTTTAATTGAAAGGAGGGTCTGACTGGGCATCTTTCTGTCACCGGCTTTATGGGGACACGTGTCTTTTGGGGATTGGTGGAGTCTTGGTGGTGAGTCGGAAACATCCCTCAAGTCAACTTGTTTTTCTAGGCAAGTCTGACATTGGAACACTTTGAAGAACAACCTGTTGTTCTCTGGAAGGTCGCCCTTGGCACAAAGGGCCATTAATTTTTACTTACACAGCGGTGGGACAGGATGAGAGGAAGCGTTCTGCCCGGGGGTGTTTGTTCAGGGCCAGTGGGGCAGGAACCCCCCACAGCTCAGTGCAGACACGGAGGTTCTCAGCAGGTGGTCGGGGCACCTGGTCAACCTCCCCTGCTGTGATCACCCCAGCTGCTTTCTGCTCAGCGCTCAGGTTCCCTTTCTTATTCGGGCTGCAGGATCCTCTAAATGTAAAAGGATGATTCCTTCTTGTCCCTTTTGTTCTCACTGCTGAGGGTAGTAAGTTTCTCTGGTCAGTTGGTTCCCTTTCTGTGCTGACTGGGGTTATTCCTGGGCTCAGTGGAGACTGCTGTGGGGAAGTGTCTCAGGAATGTTCTCTCCTCCATTGGAATTGTGGGGAAATGCACGCAGTTGCACAATTTGAAGTGAGGTGGAAGAAGAAATGAATTGAAAATATTCATAGAAATAGTAGTTCGTCTCCTGTGCAGGGCACAGAGTTTGTGACAGTGTGTGATTATGGTTGTCAAAGAATAAAATTCTTTTTTCATATCAGTTGATTGCATACCTTTCTTGAAAACTGTAGAAACAATTTTTGAGAACATTTTCATTACATACTTCTTGGAACATACTGGGTACATATTTTCTGAGAACAATGACAATTCCTCCATCCCCTCACTTGTTTGCTCAAGATTAACCCCTTGAGCAAAACTCGTTGGTTTGGATTAACCCCTTATTGAGAGTTTACTCCCACCTTCTCTGGGTTTTGTATGTCAGCTGGCACACTGTCCATTTCCTGTTAGTATCTGGTTGTCAGAGATTAATGCACATTCTGTCAAATGTGACCTGTAAAATGGAAAAGGGTTCTGACTGACTTAGAAATATTTTGTTATCATGAGGCTAATAGTGAACTGATATCTGTTTTTGAAAAGGGATAAGCATTTTCCAGTTATTTAAAGCCATAAAGAGTGCATTAGTAAATGTACAGAAACCAAAGTTTATTAGGTTAAGTGCCAGGCTGCTAACCAAAAGGTTGGCAATTCCATCCCACCCAGCAGCTCCTCGGGAAAAAAACCTGGCGATCTGCGTCAGTAAGGATTACAGCCAAGAAGATCCTATGGGACAGTTCTACTCTGTCACATGGGTTGCTATGAGTGGAATCAACTCCATGGTACACAGCCACCACCACCAGGGGAGGGAGGAAGGGGGAAAGAGAGAGTTATTGTTTAGGAAATAGCTAGTTTGCAAGGGATACTGGTTGATAGTTGCACAGAACAATTAATATTACTTGATGTCACTAAATTGTACACATGAAAACGTTAAATTGACAAATGTGTTATGTATAATTTTACAACAATTAAAAAAAAAAGAGTGCCTTAGAATTTCTTAGCCTTGCTTTATCCTTGACAAGAGCGTGAAAGTAGTGACTCTGCTGGGTCCTTATTCAAACACTGGGATTGAAGGTCTTTGTCTCACTAAACTTATCCGTGGCAGTGCGAAGCTGTTGTGTCACCTGGGGTGGGAGCAGAGGCCTGAGGCCAGTGACTCCAAGCTGAGTCCAACTTTGAGCCTGCAGAGGAGGTAGAGCAAGGGCCAGTCAGGTCTTCTGGGGACTCTCCTTCTATTAGTGGCCCCAGCCACTCAAAAGCCCAGAAGGAGCTGTTTGTGCTGGGAGTAGCATTGGAGGGGGAGATCCAGGTGCAGGTGTATTTGGGGGTGTTTCTTCCTCTCTGAGGTTGTAATTATGGTTTCCTTGAGGCTGTTTCCTGTTAGTTGGGATTTGGCCTGTGCGTAAGTGGTGGGGTTAGTGTAATTTGTGCAGTTTAAGAAAGTCTGCGAAGGTTACGCTTAGAGAGAGACTCGTTTAGGTCCGACTCCTGGAGAGAAGGCTTATGCATCTGAGCATTTATTTGTGTTGGGACATTAAACTGATGAGGAGTTCCATGCTGGTGAGAAGTGCGACCCTGCAGGAGGGAGCGTTTCCACACTGTGAGCAGGGAGAATTTTTTTTGTTTTAAATGTATGTTGAACTAACCTTTTATTCCTCTTTTATTCCTGGGATAAATCCTGTTTGGTCGTGGTGTATAATCCTTTGTATATGTTCCTGGATTTGGTCTGCTAGTATTTGGTTGAGGAATTTTGCATCTATATTTATAAGGGAGCCACCAATCTCTGTCAGTTTGTCTTACTGTGGTGGCTTGCGTGTTGCTGTGATGCTGGAAGCTATGCCACCGGTATTTCAAATAGGAGCAGGGTCACCCATGGTGAAGAAATTTCAGCAGAGCTTCCAGACTAAGACAGACTAGGAAGAAGGACCTGGTGGTCTACTTCTGAAAGTATTGGCCGGTGAAAATCTTATGAATAGCAGCAGAACATTGTCTGATAATAGTGCTGGAAGATGAGTCCCTCAGGTTGGAAGGCACTCAAATAAGACTGGGGAAGAGCTGCCTCCTCAAATTAGAGTTGACCTTAATGATATGGATGGAGTAAAGTTTTTGGGAACTTCATTTGCTGGCATGGCACGACTCAAAATGAGAAGAAATAGCTACAAACATCCATTAGTAACTGGAATGTAAATTGTATGAAGTATGAATCTAGAAAAATTGGAAGTCATCAAAAATGAAATGGAACGCATAAAGATCGAGATCCTAGGCATTAATTAGCAAGCTGAAATGGACTGGTATTGGCCATTTTGAATCAGACAATCAGTGGCCTACTAAGCTGGGAATGTCAAATTTCAAGATTGATCCTAAAGTACAATGCTGTCAGTGATAGGAAAATATTCATACACCTACAAGGAAGACGAGTTAATACAACTATTATTCAAATTTACACACCATCTAGTAAGGCCAAAGATGAAGAAATTAAAGATTTTTTTTTTACCAATTTCTGCAATATGAAATGGATCAAATTTGCAATCAAAATGCATTGATAATTACTTGTGATTGGAATGCGAAAGTTGGAAACAAAGAAGAAGAATCAGTAGGAAAATATGGCCTTGGGGATAGAAATGGTGCCAGAGATCGCATGATAGAATTTTGCAAGACCAACGACTTCTTCATTGCAAATACCTTTTTTCACTAACGTAAATGGCGAATATACACGTGGACCTCGCCAGATGGAACACACAGGAATCAAATCGACTACATCTGTGGACAGAGACGATGGAAAAACTCAGTATCATCAGTCAGAACAAGGCCAGGGGCCGACTGTGGAACAGACCATCAATTGCTCATATGCAAGTTCAAGCTGAAGCTGAAGAAAA